TGCCTCGGAGCCAGCCAAGTATGGACTGAAACCTCCACAAACTGTAAGCTAAATAAACCTTTCCTTCCCTCATTTTGGGCATTGGGTATTTTGTCTCAGCAACAAGAAAAAAGTAACCAAGACAGCTATATTCTACATTTTCTTCTAAAATGTTTAGAGTTGCCTCTTGGGATAAGTTTGCATGCATCTGGAATATTTGTGTATGAAATGAGATAGAGATCCAATATCATTTTTCCACATGTAATCAGATCATACCACTATTAGCCCATAATCCCAACTCCCTTTTTAAAACAGGCTTTCAATTAAACAGGGCTGGCTTTAAACTCCCTGAGATCCGAGTGCTGGGATTACAGTTGTTGGCCAGTACACCGGGCCTCCCACTTATTTTTTAAGGAGAGAAAGGAATGATTGCTTTGAGGAAAATAAATCTACCTAAATAAAAGCTGTCGAAACCAATAATGTATTAATAGCAATGGTAATATTATGAACAAATTGTGTTTACTGTAGGATTAAAGGGTAACATTAGAAAGTCTACTGTTTTTTTGTTTTTTTGGTTTTTTTTGGTCTTCTTTGAGACAGGGTCTTGCTATGTAGTTCAGGCTGGCCTTGAGCTTACTCTGTAGCCCAGGCTGGTCTTGAACTCACGATGATCCTCCTGCCTCAGCCTCCCGGATGCTGGGGTTACAGGTGTGCGCCGCCACGCCCTACTGATTTTTTTTTTTTTTTTACTGGGAATCGAACTCGGAACTTCGCGCTAGCCAGGCAGGCGCTCTGACTTCTTTTTAGTTGGAAGCTTTTGGGTTTGTCTTATACCCTGAGCAACCAGTTTGAAGATAACAATACACAGTGTAATAACTGTGGTTATTCTGTTATTATTTATGAAATTTTTAATAAAACAAAAATCTACCGATGTAACTGGTCTCATAAACAGATTAAAGGAGACTATCCATACGATCATCTTGATAGATGCGGAAAAGCATGTAATAAAGTCCACCTGCTGATATTTGTTACTTTTCCTTTCAAAATGTACGGTATTTCTAGAAATTATTTAAATATCAGAGGAGCAAACAGAAATACTGTAATGCCTGTTCGGCCTGACGTCGGCCCTGTCGAGGCTCCGCTCAAGGTGGCTTCAGAACGTCACTTTCAGCTCTGTGTCTGCGACCACAGACAGCAACCGCGGCCTTTGCCCAACTTCCGGATTCCGCGCAACGGCTGAGAGCCCCGAAGAACTGAAGCGTAACCCGCCCCGATGGACCGTGCCTCCCGCTTCCAAGAGCTGCGGCGCCCAGGCCCGGGCGGGCTGCACCCGCGCCCAGCGCCCTGCGCGTCCCGCGCCATCAGCGGCCCGGC